GTCAGCATGTGTATATGTGTGTGCACACAGATGTCAGTCAGCATGTGTATATGTGTGTAAACACAGAAGTCAGCTAGAATCCAGACCAAAAAAGATGACAAACTTCTGACGGGGTCACCCAAGCTGCTCTTGATGAGGCTCTTACTTCTAAATAAAGTTGATTCCCCCCCCCCCCATATAGGTTTGCTTAGGGGAACTAAAATCTGGTTCCAGTAAAATATACTCCTCTTTATATGCTAGGGGGTCTTATATTCTAACATTCTACAGAAGCGACTCTCAGGAATTATTTATAGGTGACAAAAATATCTCACTACATCACTACTAACTCTCAATACCTCAGCCAAGTTGTAACTTGGAGAGCTAAAGCTTACTCGTCCTTCTCAGTGTCAATTGAGAATGGTTTTAATTTTCCTGCTGGGCCACATTTTCCTCCTCCTGTGTGTCTCCTCCCCCTTTATGATTTAGCTTCACGGCTAGGAGACGCACTAATGTGGGAGGAAACAGTCGTGTGCAGAGCGCTGCTCTCAGCTGTAAAGCAGCTGTCACCCCCACAGCAGCGGCTGCTGCCTTTGAGAACGCAGCAACGGCCCCTGTGTGGGGAGCAAGGAAATCAGTTTACAGAGCACTCTAAACAGAAAGGTGCCCAGAGTCTCAGCTGTTACTGATGGGGAGCCCCAGAGGTGGGGAAGTCATGGTGTTACAGTCCCAATCTGTGAGGATCCCTAAGGGAGCAATTTGGCAACACCAGGAGAAAAAGTCTCAGCTTGCTGTTATTGCTTTGAGGCCCCAATTTAATTTCAATCACCCAGCGAAGAAGAGACATTACAGGTCTTACTGCAGGGCATCCTGGGAAAAGCATCTATACCAGTCCTACAAACAATATTATTAAGAAAACTATATATCAGGTTTTTTAGATGTTATGTTAGTATTAGACAAAGCAATTGGTGTTTTTTTTTTCTTTTCAACAAAGTGTTTTAATGAAAAACATTATTATACACATTGCTGTTCTAGAGATTCCCAAGAAATCAACAATGTAGGTTTCCTGCTGCCAAGGAAAAGCACTCCCAAAGACAAGCTCGACAGAGGATGAGTTCCTTCAACAGCACTTCAGAACAATTCATTTCCCTAAGTGTCCAGCTTCTGCTTCATATCAAAGGCAAAGAAACACTACCATGAGTCCAGCTGTTCCTATGAACAAATCAAGTGCAGGAAGATAAACAGAATGTCCTGGGCTCAACCTGAGTAAGGACTAAAGTGAGGGAAGGGAAAACTGAATTGTGATGTTTTCAGCTCAGCACACTGGTGTTCCATTTCCCACTAGGTCTTTCGGGTCTGCAAGTCTAGAGTCTGCAAGTCTCACCAATTCCCAAAGCCTTAATGATCTCAATCAACTTCGTTATCTGTAACACTCAGGCAAACATAAAAACTCTGTCTCATGATGGTAATATGTGTTGGGGGGATGACACCTTTTAAACATGAAACAAAAACCTTACCCCCCAGACTCCACCCTTTGTCCATCATACACTATCAAAGCTACACTGCAAGGCACACACGATTTCATGTTTTGATTATTAGCACTTCATTTCAATTAAGCACTGAAGAGTTGGTGGGCTACTATGTCTTGTCATTCCCTTTGGATTTAGATAATTGACAGCTTCTCAGTTACTCTCTGCTGCAGTCTCTAGCATGGTACGTCCCATGCATCGTCATAACCACCCCCATCCCAACCCTCCTCCCCACACACACTCAGGAATCCTCACAACTTCTCAGTGAAGTCTCTGCTAACCACCCTATTTAAAACTGCAACTTTCCAGAAATGCCAGCTTTATTTGGCTCCAAAGCACTTGTCTCCATCTAATATACTCAGCTTACTGTCTGCAAAGCAAAGACTTCTGTCTGTTTTGTTTGCTGCAGAGCGACTGGCATCTAGAACACAGCCTGATACTTGGAAGGGGATTTGACACTCACTGAATGAGTGAACCTCATGACCAGTATTCTTCAGGTCTTTAAGGAGAGTCTTTGGAACAGGTTTTTAATTAATGTATCATGGTATAAAAGCCTTAAATGGCTCTTGATAAATACTGCCAAAATATTTCCTAAAACTGGAGTAACCGAGCATGGTGGCACATGCCTCTATAACCAGCTACTCTGGTGGCTGAGGCAGGAGAGTCCTTCTTGGAAGCCAGCTGGGACAACACAGCAAGACTTTTGTCAACTGAAATTCCCAGGGGGAAAAAGCCAATGTTAAGGATTCTATAAGGCTGATTAGAACTCCTGTGTTTGTGGAGCATCAGACAGACTGTCTCAGACCTGGAGTCAAACTATCTCAGGTGATGTTTAGCTCCACTAATTCACCAGCACCTCCTTGTGACATCAGATGAAATTTCAGCATGAATGAAAAGACTACTATTACCTTTGAGCTGGACGTGGTGGCCAATGCCTTTAAACTCAGCACTCAGGAAGCAGAGGCAGGCAGATCTCTGAGTTCAAGGCCAGCCTGGGCTACAGAGTGAGTTCCAGGACAGCCAGGGCTACACAGAAAAACCATCTGGGGAGG